TATGTAAAGGTACAATTCCCAATGAGAAATGTAATTGTGTTGTATACCTACAATGTACCAATAAAAGAATTTAATAAAGTGCAAACAAAAAATTACCTGATGGAGTTTAGAGGATTTTCTTTTGTCCTTGAGAGACTGATACAAAAGAAAATAGGACTTCAAAATTCTAAAGCGTGCAAATAAGTTCATCTTCGGGTACTTTGGGCAATGATATCATGGTCCATTCTGCGCAGCTTCTTCCTTTTTCTTTAAATAAATGGCACAGGGTAACTCCTAAACTGCAATTATAGTCTTAACATGCAAAGGCTTTTCAGCTCTTAATTTTTTTCCTCTGCCTATTTCAGCTCTGCTGACATTTTCACTTATATTATGATAAAGACAAAGTGAAATGAAAACAGGAAAAAGCCTGCCTAAAAGTTTTTTCATGGCATGTCAGATTGTAGAGGAAAAGATAAAACTTTTTTTTGGTACCGGGGATTGAACTTGGATCCTTGTGCTTGTGAGGCAGGTGGCAGAAACACTGAGCTAAATTCCCAGCCCAAAACTTTTAAAATTCTGTTGTTGTTTTTTTCAAGATTCAAAGTTTTAATTAATTCCCATACTGATAAAAATAATTTCATGAATTTTGTAAACCATTGCATAAATGCTCTAGTACAAAAAAATTTAAACAAGTGCTAACAATTTTAAACAATTCACTACAAATAAATGATTATGCATTATAAATATGACCTTCTGGGTTAAGAAAATTCCATTCACATAACATTCTGATCTAAATGCTCAAAATAAAAACACATGGGGCTTCCATAAATTAATCCACATGAAGTGTCCATACTGGGTGCATGAACGTGACAACACTATCATTTACTAATATTCCACACTAGAGTCAAAAGACAACAGAGAGTAAGAACAGCTTTGCTAGTTACCCCACAGCTTCAGCTCCCACACGGAGACCCCACCCCCATCACCTACATCTGAGGTGGGAGCCTGTCCATCCCCAGCTGGGCTCTTGGGTCATGCAGGATGAATTCCAGAGGCCACAGGCAGGGTGGGGAAGGACCCACAGTGAGCAGCCCCCTCGTGATCTTGCCACACTATTGGCTCACTCCTGCGTTGTTTTTTGGTCTCCCCGGCACACCTGTCCTCAGCCTGTTGTGATCCCAGGAGAGTGGTTGCTCAGGGCCAGGCACCTCCCTGGGGGACCCAGCTGCCAGCTCCCAGACATTGCGCCCACCCTAGAATGTTATCCCTGGGGAGAAGCTCCAGAGCACTGGCCATATTCCACAGGAAAAACTGACCAGAGTAGCTTATAGACAGATCTAAAGCTTAATGGTTCTTATTTGTTTATAATTTTAAAATCTCTAGACTACATACCAATAATAAACATTGTCCTGTTATCCCAAAGACCAAAGGCCTGAAATGGGTAACAAGTGCATAAATATTAATAAAAATAAACAATCTTAAGCAGTGATAACAGTAGCACAAAATATATGTAATTTCTAGGTACTGAGCTAATAAATCAACACATGAGTATATGTTGTAAGTTGTGCCTGAATAGTAAAATCATAGGAATTCTATTTGGCTTATCTATAAATGAACACTTACAAAAATTGCAACTCTTTCCAGTATAGTAATTAACCAAAATATCTCCTGTTTCATATAACCTAAGTCAATCTTTGATAAATAAGCCAGTTTTAAATATTTTGGTAAAATAAAAGTGAAGATATCTTCAGAATTGATAACATACATTTTTCCCAGGGTTTTCTGGGGAGGCAGGGTTTTATTTATCTCTGTTACATTTTTAAGATCATAAAGGTATGAGTTTGAGGTAGGTATGTAATGCAGCACCCATTGCTTCCTGTACATCAAACACATTAATTAAGCATTTAAAGTCATTCCTGGACCAAGAAACAACTTGAAATGGTGACTGTGCTTATCTAATAGATCACTCTTCATAAGTAGTCTAGGTACAACTGCTATAAATGAATAAATTAGATGAATATAAATGGGATAAGTGCTTATAAACTTGTCATTAGAAGTTTTATGTTGTTATATTGAACAAAGCAACAGATACTCATAAAATGAGTTATTTGTAAGTCAAAATACAGAAACATCAATTGATAAATATAAATTCAAGCACACTTGTATTCTTGAATTCTACAGAAAAGAATATATTTTTGTCAATAAATAAATATTTCTTATTCCACATTAATTATTTTGCTCTATGAGAGAACACCGCTTATACTACAAATAAAATATATATTGATAAATGGTTGGCATATATGGCAAATAATTAAAAATGCTTAATTCCTAGATTTTCTCTTCATTAAAAAATTAGGTTACTAAGTTAAAATTTCTAACTAATATATGTATATGACTCATTATATAAAGTGTACCAGA